AGTCGGACGCTTAACTGACTGAGCCACCCAGGCGCCCCTGAAATAATTTTTAATAAAACTGAGCTTTATACTTTTTCTGTGCCACATAGTTTTCTTTCTCCTCATTTTAGTGTATCACTTTATGCTACTTTGTTTTCTTTCAAAAATCTTTAAACAGTAATCCTACAATGCAAAATTCAGGGAGAAATTATAATTAGAAAACATAGGAGGGACAAACTTTTATGACTAAGTGTTGGTCCAATCACTAACTGCTAATATATGTGTATGGAATTTTTTTTTAACACATTTTTTTAAAAGTTTCTTTATTTTGAGAGATCAGGCGGGGGAGGGGCAGAAAGAGAGAGAGAGAATTCCAACCAGCATGGAACCTGATGTTGGGCTCCATCCAAGAAACCATGAGATCGTGGCCTGAGCTGAAATCAAGAGTTGGATGCTTAACTGACAAAGCCACCCAGGCACCACTCCACCTTTTTTAAAGTAAGCCCCCAATGTGGGGCTTGAACTCATGACCCTGAGATTAAGAGTTGCAGTTGCTCACTCTACCAACTAAGCCAGCGAGGCATCTCTGTTTTCTTTTCAACTTTCAAGACATCAGTATGTTTAACCGACTGGTTCCCTATATGTGAATGGCTTACATAGACCTAACACTGTATTGAGGTCCTAGAAAAATAATGTCATCAACAAATTACCTAATTGGAATTTCTTTCATTTAGGAATATTTTATCCCAAACCACTAGGCTATTGGAAGTAGTTTGGGGGGAATCAAAAGTTTTATGTGGATTTTTCACTGTTTGAGGAGGTCAAGCACCTTTAACCCCCACATTATTCAGGAGTCACCTTAATTTTTTTGTAGTTTCTGATTTATCACACTGATTGGTAACAGTGAAAAAGAGATGTGTCTGTCATCCTACCTACTTATGGTAGGCTGCTGTGTATGCTGCCAGGATTCAGAACACCTAGAAAAGCTTTAAGAAAAGAAACCATTTCTGAGATCCTGGCTTTGCGCCATTCTGCTGTGGCAACATCCAGGGTTCTGGAAATTGGTACTAACAGAATGAAACAGAGCAGATCTGAGGTCACACCACAGGTAGGTGAAGGAGATGAGTATGATAATTGAATCCTTGGTGCCACTTTTGTCAAATGTGTAACACGCCAATCTTAGAATTTAAAACGCTAATAATTTTCGCTATGGTCCTTATCTTGTGTTCAATGAGTATCTGGCTTCTGTTATCCTAGAACAGCAGTTCTTAACCTTTTTTGGGTCTGTAATTCTCTTTAAAATGGAGGAAAGCTTTGGACCTTCTTTTTTGCAATTTTGCATACAATTTTAAAAGGTTAACAGGATCAAAAAAAAAAAATGTTAACAGGATCCACTGATTAGAACTTACGTCCTAGATTTCAGTACCTTTTTTTTCTCAATGCAGTTAACTTCATTTTGAACTTGGGCTAGCATTAAGAGATTCTCCACTTTTATTTAAATTTCTTTTTTAATGTTTATTTACTTATTTATTTTTAATGTTTATTTTTGAGAGAGTAAGAGTGTGCTCTAGTCGGGGAGGGGCAGAGAGAAAGGGGTACAGAGGATCGAAGTGGGCTCTGAGCTGACAGCAGAGCGTTTAATGTGGGACTCAAACCCACGAACCATGAGATGATGACCTGAACCGAAGACAGACGCTCAACTGACTGAGCCACCCAGGTGCTCCTATTTACTTATTTTTGAGAGAGAAAGAGCACAAGCAGGGGAGGAGCAGAGAGAGAGGAGACACAAAATCTGAGGCAGGCTTCAGGCTCTGAGCTGACAGAGGAGCTTGAACTCACAAACTGTGAGATCATGACCTGAGCTGAAGGCTGATGGTTAACTGACTGAGCCACCTAGTTGCCCTTTTATTTAAACTTCTATTTAAATTCATGTAGTTAGGCCTGGTTTCTCCTTTCTGCCCATCTGTGATATCTCACTTACTTAAAAACAAAACGACAAAACAACTTAAAAATGAAAGAAGATTAATGTGGTAAGGATTTAGGACATTTAGAACTTTTTTCCCCCCTTAGGTTCTCCTCCCCCCTCTTTTTAAATTTTTAACGATCTGTATGTTTTGCAGGGAGTCATTTGTAATTTATAAGAATGACAAATATAATTTTTGAGATTTTTGTTTTTGCTTTGCTTTGTCGTTGGTTTGTTTTTTTTTTCCAACGTTTTTTTTTATTTATTTTTGGGACAGAGAGAGACAGAGCATGAATGGGGGAGGGGCAGAGAGAGAGGGAGACACAGAATCGGAAACAGGCTCCAGGCTCCGAGCCATCAGCCCAGAGCCTGACGCGGGGCTCGAACTCACGGACCGCGAGATCGTGACCTGGCTGAAGTCGGACGCTTAACCGACTGTGCCACCCAGGCGCCCCATGTCGTTGGTTTGTTTTAAGTAAAATTAATTTGAACTTTTAAATGACTGATAATGGACCTCACACTTCTAAAGATTTTCTGGGATATTCTAGATTAGGTGCTTTGTTTAGTTCATTAATGTTCTCTGTTCTCTTCCTGTACAGCAAAATACTATTCTTTGTATAAGGGTGTTAACTTAATAGTTATAGGGCAGCATTTTTCCCAGATATTTTACAGATATGTATTTTCAGATATAAGCAAGATGCTTTGTAAGTGTGTTCCATGAGTAAATACTACTTTTATGGCAATCTTTTGAGGTTCCTAATGCTTAGTTGGCACATTAAAGGTTCTGAGTAAAATTATGTGCTTAATTCATTGTTTCCTATACTTTTTAAAAAGGTTGCTTCATATACTTTTTTTAAAGTTTACTTAAAGTTTATTTATTTTGAGAGAGAGTGTGTGTGCACAGGCACACTCAAGCGAGGAAGGGCAGAGAGAGGGAGAGAGAGAAAATCCCAAGGAGGCTCTGCTCTGTCATTGCAGAGACTGACATGGGGCTCAGTCCCTTGAACTGTGAGACCCTGCCCTGAGCTGAAACCAAGGGTTGGATGCTCAACCCACTGAGCAATCCAGATGCCCCTAGAGTTTATTTATTTATTTTGAAAGGCAGGTGGTGCATGTGAGTGTGTTTGGAGCAGAGAGAGGGAGACAGAATCCCAAGCAGGCTCCTTGCTGTCAGTGCATAGCCTGATGCAGGGCTCCATCCCAGGACCTTGAAATCATGACCTGAGCATATTTTAAGAGCTGCTCGGGGTGCCTGGGTGGCTCAGTCGGTTGAGTGTCCGACTTCAGCTCAGGTCATGATCTTGCGGTCTGTGAGTTCAAGCCCCATGTCAGGTTCTGTGCTGACAGCTCAGAGCCTGGAGCCTGCTTCAGATTCTGTGTCTCCCTCTCTTTCTGCCCCTCCCCTGCTCATGCTCTGTCTCTCTCTGTCTCAAAAATAAATAAAAACATTAAAAAAAAAAAAAGCTGCTCAATCACCTGAGCCACTGAGCCACCCAGGTGCCCCAACTTTTTTTTTTTCTCTTAATGTAAGCTCTGTGTCCATTGTAGGGCTTGAATTCATGACCCCGAGATCAAGAGTCACATGCTTTACCAGCTTAGGCGGTCAGGTGCCCCATTTCTTTAGCTTTTTAAACCTTGGACCCTTTTTTCTTTGCTTTCAGACTTTAATGTCCTGGGGAACTAGTCATTGTACAAGGAGATCCAATTTTGGGAAGGATAGTGCTAGATGCAATTTTTATTTTATTTTTTAGATTGCAGTGTTAATTGCTTTTTTGCATTCAGTGGAATTGCATGAAAGCTTCAAGTAAAATCTTAGCTCTAAGCATACATTAAACAATCACATACCTAAATCTGTCCTTCTGAGTTCTTTCCCCAATTTGGTTTAATCAGGTGGTAATTTTAAGTTGCTGTGGTTAATTTTGTCGCATTGTCCCATAAAGTAGTGCAATAATTTTAAAGTGTTGCTTTGGTGTATTTCCTGGTTTATTATTTCCTCGTTATTTAGTATTTTCTAAATCTTTTTTGTTTTGTTTTGTTTTGAAAGAGAGCACAGGAGTTGGGGAGAAGGGCAGAGTTGGGGGGGAGAGAGAGAGTGTGTGGGAGGGAGGGAGGGAAGGAACCCCAAGCAGGCTCTGGGCTCAGTATGGAGCCTGACATGTGGCCTAATCCCATGACCCTTGGATCACGACCCTAGCCAGAATGAAGAGTCAGACACTTAACCGACTGAGCCACCCAGGTATGCCCCTTTAAGATGTTATTTTTTTTTTTTTATTTTTTTTTCAACTTTTTTATTTATTTTTGGGACAGAGAGAGACAGAGCATGAACGGGGAGGGGCAGAGAGAGAGGGAGACACAGAATCGGAAGCAGGCTCCAGGCTCTGAGCCATCAGCCCAGAGCCCGATGCGGGGCTCGAACTCACGGACCGCGAGATCGTGACCTGGCTGAAGTCGGACGCTTAACCGACTGCGCCACCCAGGCGCCCCAAGATGTTATTTTTAAGTAATGTGCACCCAACATGGGACTCCGAGGTTACAACCCCGAGACGAAGAATCCCGTCTACCAACTGAGCCAGCCTGGTGCCCCTAGTTTTATAAATCTTTAATGCAAAGTAGAAATACATGAAAATTTTGTCCAGTAGAAAGTTATAGGTGGATAACTTGCAGCAGCACTGCCTATAATACATGATTTTCATCTTCTTGAAGATAAAACAGTAAATTCTAGATTAGTAAAATAATACAATTTATTTTCTGCATTTTTTCCTGAAAATACTTCTTAAGAGTACTTTAGACTTTTGATCTAGGTAAGGTTGGTTGTGTTCATTGTGCAGTTTGATTTTATAGAATTATGTTTTCAATCATGACATCAACATTAAGTACAAAGCCACTGGGATCTGGGACGGTACTTGAATCAGTTCAGTTTAACAAGCTTTACTCAAATTCTGCTTTAGGTTATTACTAAGCAATTAACAACATTATTCATAACTAAGTACTTATGGAAGATTCCTAGGAAGGATCCAAATAATGTTTTTCTTTTCTTTCCTTTTTAATCTCATTTTAGCCGCGTTGGGTGTTCAACAGCCATCACTCCTTGGAGCATCTCCTACCATTTACACACAGCAAACTGCATTAGCAGCAGCGGGCCTTACGACACAAACCCCAGCAAACTATCAGTTAACTCAGACTGCGGCGCTGCAGCAACAAGCTGCAGCTGCAGCAGCTGCATTGCAACAGGTGAATCTCTTTATTTTTTTAAGTTTATTTATTTTGACAGCGAGAGAGCGTGAGTAGTGGGGGGGGGGGCAGTTAGAGAGGAGGAAAGAGAAAGAGAATCCCAAGAAGGCTCCACGCTGTCAGTACAGAGCCCACTTGGGGCTGTTGTAAAATCACGATCTAAGCCAAAACCAAGAGTTGGATGCTCAACCAGCTCAGCCACCCAGGCACTCCTTTGTTGGCTTTTATTTATTTTTTAAGTGTTTTTATTTATTTTTGAGACAGAGACAGAGCATGAGCAAGGGACGGGCAGAGAGAGAGGGAGACACAGAATCCGAAACAGGCTTCAGGCTCTGAGCTGTTAGCACAGAGCCTGACGCGGGGCTTGAACTCACAGACTGTGAGATCATGACCTGAGCCAAAGTTGGACGCTCAACCAACTGAGCCACCCAGGCACCCCCTTTGTTGGCTTTTAATATGTGACATAGAAAACTATTAATTCTGTGTAGCCACAGTAGGTACTTTCATTTTTTAAAGACTTAATAATTGTGGGGTTTTATTATGCTTATTTTTCAGGTGATTAAAATTACTATATATGCTAAGATATATGGAGCAGTGCGTTTGCATGGTCAAAATTCTTAAAACGGATAGTCCTTATATCTTTTGCTTATTTTTCATCAAGTTTAGCTGTTCAAGAAAATTTCTATTTAGTATAATTTTGTTTATGTATTTGTATATATGTATATCACTTTTTGAGAATGAATAAAACTAACATCCATATTTTTCTTTGAAAAAAAATTTTTTTCCAGCAATATTCACAACCTCAGCAGGCCTTGTATAGTGTGCAACAGCAGGTTAGTTTATATTTTCGATATTAAAAACTGATTTTTAAAAAGCCATTTGTCCCAGATTCAATTTATACAGATTTTATGTCCTTTCAGCTACATTAATGTGTGATTTGAATTCTTTTGGGGTGGGGAAATGAGGTAGGTTAAAAGGAATGTCTCCCAGGGAGAGGAAGGTAGGAGAGGTGTCCTGTGGAAATTGAAATCTTCAACTAGCAGCCATTTTTGTCACATGTTGCTAAGAAAGCATGCAGAGGGTAATCTGGAAAGAATCTGTTACTGAGTCAGTGGCCCAGTACTTCTGTCTGGAGCATCTAGCCCTACTGTGCTGTATTAGACCACATGTGAAAATGAAAAGGTCCTTTTTCTCATTTGAAACCTAAGCCCTAGATAGACCACTGGCTTTGAGCCTTTATTTTTTATTTTTATTGATTTTATTATTTTGGTTTTTTAATGTAAGCTCTATACCCAGTGTGGGACTTGAGTCATGATTCTGAGGTCAAGAGTCACACACTCTACCAACTGAGCCAGCCAGGCACCCCGTGAGCCTTTATTTTTTTTAAAGCAACAGAATCCTCTCTATTTTCACCTAATGAAATTGTGTATTGAAACTCAATATATAAAATATAAAATATTAAAATAGAGCTGTTGAAAGTGGGTAGAAGCCTCCCGTTGTATTTTCCCATTCCTACTCTCATAGCACATTTTGACAATTTGAAAACTCCCGATGTAGGGAAAAAGCAAGTTTTTTTAGCCCTTTTTCTCTAGTCTTGTTCTATAATTATGTTCTATGGAGTCTTATATCTGTGATGATAGGAAAAGCTAAGAAAAAATGAACCCAAGGAGAGGCATGTCAAGGAGAAAAGAGTTTGCCCTGCTGAAATCTAGATAGGTTCTAGCCTAAGCACCCACTCAAGGCTTTTTAAGAGTAGAGGTAGTCTTCTTTCTTCTCAGTGTTGTTGATAGCTTCAGGAAAGTATAGCAATCAGGAGGGGAAAAGGGGATATGAGAGAAGGACCAAAAACTTAGATCCAAAAACACTAGATAAACATGAGGCTTCTTATCCATAAGGTCTTGTCCCTAGTGGATCCATGACCCAATTTCATTCTTGGCTAAGTCCTTTGGGGCTTCAGAAGCATTGCACTTTCACTGAAAGTTATACTATCCTCCTAATATTGATGTAAACTTGTAAAAATTTGGAAAGAGATTGATGTCAGAGTTGGCTACCTGCTTTTCAAAAATATCCTTAGACTTATTTTATTACTGTTATGAAGTTTATCATTAAAGATTATGTGTTAGGTTGAACCGTATGAAAATGAAAGGCTCAAATGCTATTGCCTTAAAAAATGCCATTGTTTATTCTTGACTTAGAGAAAAAATAATTTGGTAGATTTAACCTCTAATACATGGTAATCCCAGGTAAGCCGGGTGCTTTGAATAGGACCCCACATAGATTCTTTTATCCTAGCTTAAGTCAACTTTCTATTCCATAATTTAAATTTTTTTCTTTTTACACCAATTCCTTGTATTTTCTGGTAATGAGTGTTATCCTTTACTATTGCCAAAAAAACGATGTCAGAGTGTATGGTTCCTTATGGTCCCCATGCATGTGGCAAATCTGAGAAGGCTTCTCATTTTAGGGGGATATATATGAATTAGATAGCCTGTGATTTTTTTTTTTTTTGAGAGAGAGAGATGGATGAAGCGTGAGTGGGGGAGTGACAGACGGAGAGGGAGACACAGAATCCAAAGCAGTCTCCAGGCTCTGATCTGTCAGCATAGAACCCGATGTGGGCCTGAATCCAAGAACCGTGAGAGCATGACGTGAGCCAAAGTTGGACTCTCAACTGACTGAGCTACCCAGGCACCCCTAATTTTATTTTCTTTTATTAGGCTGAGCTTTTCTTTTTGAGTATAGTTGACACACATTTGTTACATTAATTTCAGGTATACAACTTAATGATGTGACAAATTTATACATTATGCTACGTTCACTGCAAATGTGGCTACCATGTGTCTTGTTACATTGTTATTATAACAACACTGTGTTCCTTATGCTATGCTTTTTTTAAAAAAAATTTTTTTTATAGCCAGCAACTTTTTTTAATGTTACATTTACTATTCTCAAGGCACATCTGATGATACATTTTATAACACAGTAGGTGTCAAAGTATGTTCCACATATGATTTCTTCAGGATCCCTCCTCTTTCTGAATTCCAAATGGAGGAACTGAAGTCTGATGTAAAGACTGACGACCCATATTCTATCTTCGCAAGCTTGTACAGCACTATTGTAAAATGTAATGTAAGAGAACTATAAACTAGGAACTTCTTCAGTTTTTTGAACCTTCATTCAGATTTTTAAAAAAATTTTTAATGTTTATTTATTTTTTTATTTATTTTTGAGAGAGAGACAGAGTGTGAGCAGGGGAGGAGCAGAGAGAGAGGGAGACACAGAATCCGAAGCAGGCTCCAGGCTCTGAGCTGTCAGCATAGAGCCCGATGCGGGGCTTGAACTCATGAACCGTGAGATCATGACTTGAGCCAAAGTCGGATGCCTACCAACTGAGCCATCCAGGCGCCCCTTAATGTTTATTTTTATGAATGTTTATTTTTAGAGAGAGGGAATGTGCATGTTTGCTTGCTCTTAAGTGTGGGAGAGAGAATCCCAAGCAGGCTCTGCCCTGTCAGCACAGAGCCACACGTGGGACTCACTCTCACAAACTGTGAGATTGTGACCTAAGCTGAAATCAAGAGTTGAACTCTTAACCGACTTAGCCATCCAAGCTCCCCCTTAGGCTGTGCCTTTTCATTCCTGTGACCTAATCATTCCGTAACTAGAAGTTTGAATCTCCCTCTTCCCTTCAGTCATTTTGCCCAAACCTCCTCCTTTCCGGCAGCCATCAGTTCTCTGTGTTTATAGCTCTGATTCTCCTTTTTTGTTCATTTTTTTCTAATCCACTTACGAGTGAAATCATGTATTTGTCTTTCTCAGTCTGACATATTTCACTTAGCATAATAGTCTCTAGGTCCATCTGTATTGTCTGATATGGCACAAGCTCATCCTTTTTTGTGGCTATGTAATATTCCTGTGTGTGTGTGTGTGTGTGTGTGTGTGTGTGTGTGTGTGTGTGTGTGTGGTTGCTTCCGTATATTGGCTTATAAATAATGCTGTGGTAAACCTAGAGGTGCATATATCTTTTCACGTTAGTGTTTTTGTTTTCTTTGGGTAAATATCCAATAGTGGAATTATTGGATTATATGGTATTTCTATTTTTGATTTTATGAGGAACCTCCATGCTGTTTTCCACAGTAGCTGTATCAATTCACATTCCACCAGCAGTACATGACAGTTCCTCCACATTCTTGCCAACACTTAATTTCATGTGTTTTTGAATTTGCCATTCTGACAGGTGTGAAGTGATAGCTCGTTGTAGCTTTGATTTGCATTTCCTTGATGATGCATGATGTTGAACATCTTTTCATGTGTTGTTTCACCTATCTGTATGTCTTTGGAAAAAATGTCTGGATCCTCTGCCGATTTTTTAATAAGATTGTTTTTTGGTGTGAGTTACTGTGTGAGTCATTCATATATATGGGGAATTTATCCTTTATCAGATGTATCATGTAGATAGTCAATGATATATTTTTTAAGTAATTTCTACACCCAAACATGTGGCTAAGGCTCAGGACCCTGAGATCAAGAGTCTCATGCACTACTAACTGAGTCAGCCAGATGCAAATAGATAGCCAATGATATTTTTTTTTTTTTTTAAATTTTTCAACGTTTTTATTTATTTTTGGGACAGAGAGAGACAGAGCATGAACGGGGGAGGGGCAGAGAGAGAGGGAGACACAGAATCGGAAACAGGCTCCAGGCTCCGAGCCATCAGCTCAGAGCCTGATGCGGGGCTCGAACTCACGGACCGCGAGATCGTGACCTGGCTGAAGTCGGACGCTTAACCGACTGCGCCACCCAGGCGCCCCTAGCCAATGATATTTTTGATACAGGTAGCATACTGATGATATTTAATCATTTCTGTAGCACAGTGATTAACGTGGTAGAACTAGAAATTATCCTGTCTAGGGTCTCATGGGGTTTTTTTGTGGGTGTTACTCTTATGAAATAAGATAAAAGATCAATTTCTTTATTGAACGAATTAGTTGGTTTTCGTTTTTTTTTAAGATTAAAAAAAATGTTTGAGAGAGAGGAGAGCAAGTGAGTGGGGGAAGTGTAATGAGAGAGAATCCCAAGCAGGCTCCACATGGCCAGCCCAGAGCCTGATGCAGGGCTTGATCTCATGAACCATGAGATCTTGACCTCTGCAGAGATCAACAATTGGACACTCAACTGACTGAGCCACCGAGACACCCCTTTTGTTAAGGAGTTTGTTTGTTTGTTTGTTTTAATGTTTATTTTTGAGAGAGAGAGAGCGGGGGAGGGGCAGAGAGAGGGAGACAGAAGATCTTGCCGTCAGTGCAGAGCCCAGTGTAGGGCTCTAAACCACTACTACGAGATCATGACCAGAGCCAAAGTCAGAAGCTCAGTGGCCACCCAGGCACCCCTAAAGATTTTATGTTTAAGTAATCTCTACACCCAGTGTGGGCTCATACTTAAAACCCCGAGATGAAGAGTTGCATGCTGTGCTCATGGAGGCAGCCAGGTTGTTCCACTGAATGAGTTAGTTATATATCAGATCTACGCTTAGAAATAGTTGTAGGAAAAAAAAGAAATAGTTGTAGGAAACCTTACACCTAATGACTTCTGGTATTTTTTACTGTATTTCTTAATTAGAAATGAAGTACTGACTTAATAGGAATTTTTCCTTATATAAAGCATCTGTGAAACAATTTCAGTTGATCTTTTTTGTTTTTCTTTTTTCTATTTTCAGTTACAGCAACCTCAACAGACCCTTTTAACACAGGTTAGTTTGCCATTATTTGAATTTCTTTTGGATATCTGAATGAAGAATAGACCACAATTTTATTTGTATTCTAGTGTTCCAGAGTTTGAAGATGAATATTGGTTGGATTCACATAATAATTTAACAATGTGTTAAATACAGCTGGAAAGCATATGGTTTTGTTTTCTCTTTTATGGTTTTTGGTCACAGATCCAGCTGTGATCTAGTTTGAATAAATATGAGGTCTTATTTAAACTTAATTCTGGGGCATTCACTTTCGAATGTCCCCTCTATAAAGAGAGCTGTCCTACTGTTCTTCCTTTCTGATCTTTTACTCTAATAAACTTTTGCCTGCTGTTCAAAAAAAACCAAAAAACTGATTTTGGCATTTACATTTCCTTTGTAACTAATAATTTTAGGAAGTTTTTATGTATCTTTTTTGGCTTGACCTTAGTAGGTGAAGGTATTGTTTACATTATCAGCTTAATTTTTCAGCAGCATTAAAATGTTTTGAACTTTTAATGCTCCTTTAGGTTTGTGGACCACTTACAGTCCCTGTTGCATATTTTTTTCATTTTAGAAATTATTTAAAAGTGTAAGAAACCATCCCTGGTTTATAAGCTATACATGAATCAGAAGCTGTGGGCTGGATGTGGCCCAAGGGCCATGGTTCACTGAGAGTGAAATACTATGCAACTGGCAAAAACAAAACAGAACCTCTAATAGTAACTGGTGACCATTTCCCCATGGTTAAGGAATTGGGTATCGAAGGAACAGAAGAAGAAGGTTTACTCTATAACCTTTCATACTTTTTTAGTCTTGAATCTGTTATTTTTGTAAAAAATGCACTTGAGTTGAGAAGTCAACCTCACTTTCTGTTATTGTAGAATCAAAATCAACTAACACTGATCTTGTATTTTCAATCTCCAATAGTAGAATTTCCAAACTAATTAGAAAAGCTATAAAAATTTGTCTTTTCTTAGAGTAGCATTTCCCATTGTGTACCCATAAATCATTAGTGTCTTAGGATGTTAATTATTTTTGTGGGAAGATAATTTTATGGTCACAATTTGAGAAATGTTGAGTTCCTTCACTATATGTAGGACTTTGCTTTTTTTTTTTTTTAATG